TAATTAGCCATAGTTTAGATTTTTTGGAATATTATATGAATTATATACAAATGGATTTGTTCTTTGTTGTAGATATTGTGTAAATAAAGAGCGGCTATGTTTATTTTTGATAACTATATCTTCAAGTATAGTAAACTATAAAGGTTTTTTGCCTTTTGGTAGAAATTGTAGTCTTGATGAAAGATGTTGCCATTTCAAAAGACTGACACTATCAGAGGTGCAAAGTTGTTTCAGAAAAAGTATTTGAAGATTTCTGAGTTGTTTCTTGAAGGTTGTATAGTTGGGATGATTATGAAGAATTTTTTCTAAAGGTTGTAAGTTGTGTGAAATTGTATTAGGCCATAAGACATCAGCATTAACTGTAATAGAAACTCTGAGATATGAAAGTAGTTGATTAGTTTTAAAATTTAATGTAAATCTATTAGCACCAACAACTATTGGTTGAGGGTGCTGTAGTATATTGGTAGTTGACTAAATATTATTTTGTAATTGTTGGAGTCTGATTCGTGTAGTAATTCCTAAGAGATTAGGATTGTTGATACATTGGTGGAAGTTGGTAATGTGGTGTTGAAGTTGAATATCCCAAATATTACGAATATTATAGAGGTAGGGGTTAAGCATAGTACTATTTGGAATGGATCTTGATAAGTTAGATTTGTGTTTAGCTACAGTAAGATATTTAGCTAGAATATTATCACATGTTGAACGTAGTAATATGATATTGTGTATTCTGTATTCCAATGTAGGAATAATGACTGAATTAATAATGTAAGTAATTTGCTTATCTGTTATTTTTTTGGTACTAGCTGTGTAAATGAGTTGGAATGTTTCATTTTTGATTAGTTTAATTTGTTGAGTATGTTTGTTATCAAGTGTAAACCAACATTCAAGGTATTTGAATGGTTGGTTAGTTGGGATGGATTGAAGTATAGAGTTGAAAAAGAATATTGAAGTTGGTTTAAAATTTGTAGCAAAAATAGATTTGGAAGGGTTTATTTGAAGGTTGGCCATTTGGTAAAAGGATGTAGCTGTTTGAGTAATTAATTCGAGTTGCTCTTTTAAGTTAGCAATCCAAAGTGTATCATCCATATAGGCTATTACAGATACAGAGGCTTTTAATTGTTCTTTTTTAGAGTGTGTTAGATGAGTTTTCCAGGAGGTTGATAAGGTATAACCATTAAAGCTGTTAGCAATTTTGTGAATAAGTGGATCATAATAGATTCTCCAAAAGAGTAGTGTAATAGTTTCACCTTGGTCAATACTATTTTTAACTAAGTAAAAGCTAGTAAGTTCAAAGTTTATAATGACTCTATTGTGGCAGTTTAGAAGTAAGTTAGTAAGAATCTTGATGAGTTTGGTTGGCATATTAATGCGTATAAGAGATTTTTCAAAGAGGTCTATATTGACTGAATCATATGCTTTGCTCATATCCTGAGATATGAGCCAAAGTTGTTTGGAGTTACATGAGGCATCTTCGATAATATTATTGAGAATATGTAGTGGGATTGCTATGCAGTTACCTGGAAGTGCAATATAATTATAAGGAGAAAGTATTTGGTAGTTGGTAAAGATTTTGTTGAGACGGTTAGTAAGAAGTTTAGTATAAAGTTTCTTAATATATTTGAGAAGACTTATAGGTCTGATGTTGATTAGGTTACCATTAAAGATTGGTTTCTTAGAAATTGGGTAAATTCTACCTTCTTTCCATTGCTTAGGTATATTATTGGTGGCTATACATCTATTAAATAGAGCAGTAATAGCTGAAAGGAAGGAGTGACCTGCATATTTTAGCATTTCATAGCTAATACCTGAGGAACCACATGCTTTATTGTTTGGGAGTTGAGAGAGAGTTGTTGAGATTTCATCAATTGTAAATTCCTCAAATGCACTATTGTACTACCCTTGATTAATGTTAAGATTAGGGTTAGATTAGGGCCTGTATATGTTAATGTTAGAAGAGTGATATATGTAAAATCGTCCTCCCGACACTTTTACTTATGCGCCAAAGTGTGTTTAGACATTCGTTTCTTGTGTTTTTCTCATTTTTGACCTTTTTTGCTTCGTCGAGCTGATTCAAATAAACAAAAATTTGCGATTTTGATTGGTCGTAAGCATGGCTTTAAATGACCCCATTTTTAGCATGTAACACATTTTTGTCAACTTGTACTGATGCAATCCTTTTCATTAGAACTTTATCCGTTGAGTGGACAAATCCACATTGCGTTATATACTAATGTGAAGAATTCGGCAGACTTAAAAAAAAGACTATTATCACACGATCAGGAATTAAAATACGCTTTTATTGATGCGAAAGTGGTATGTTTTACATTACATGTTATAGAATATACTTTTATTTATTTGAAAACTAATATAAAGTAGGTGTTAGACAAATTTCAATTATTAGTCGCAGTCAACAATGCAGTACATTATGAAATGTATTCGAAATTGAAAACTCATAATGTACATTCTGAAATTGTTTATAATCTTTCTCCAACTACCAACGTAAGTTTTTTTTTGAAAATTGTTGATGAATTGCTTTGCTTATTTGATTAACATTTTATTAGATTAGCGAATCATTGAGAAGGTTTGGTATTTCCGATTCTACAAGTGAAATCATCGTTGTAAAAGTGGGTGGTAATAATGTTGAGGTAATTATATAAAGATATGTCCTTATACAAAAATGAAGATAAAATTCATTTTTTATTTGTTAATAGGTAAAGTCACATTTAAATACATTAATCGATGGTGAAGAATCTTCTTTGGACGTTTTTTCAAGGTTTGCAGATCGCAGTTGTATAAAAAAGGTTTTTATTATATATATTATCTAAGTATTTTTATTTATTAAACTTGATATGTTTTGGTTTCTAATACTTTTTGTTATTAAACCAATAGTATTACAAAATCAGTAATAATATTAATGATCATGAAGAAATACTTAATATAATTATTGGATCTCTAGCGATCAAAAATGTAAATTAAATAGAAAATTATTGATTTTTAATACTTGATGAATGTGATTTTGAAATTGCAATTGATTTATTAAAATTAAGTATACAAATATTAGTATTTACAAATTGATTATAACTAATTTTCACCCGTGGTGTTATCACCCAGTATTATAAATTTTTATTAAAAATTAAATAATCTTAAGGTTAGGGGGTAAAAGGTATTGTTTATATGTAAAATTTAATGTTGAAAACTTTTGATTAGAAATCGAAGCACAGTTTTCATAATAAAATTTTGAGCTATTGGTTTTTTTTTTTTATTTCTTCACTTTGTTTTGGTTATACAAGATCCGGCGATCCGATTGGTTTTACATATAACTAGGTGATATCACCACAGGGGCAATAGTCTTACAAATTATTGTTATAATTTATTTTATTTCTTTTTAACTTTTTATAATACTGTACATTCAAATCTGGTTATAACGAACCAGATCTGGTAGAACCGATTTTTTATAATAATTTAGGCTAGTATACCAAACTTATATAGTAAATTTTTATATGCCGTATCTTAACTTTTCTTTACAAGCAAGAACTATATACATATATTTCGATATACAGATATAACAAACTATTTTGTTTATAATATTGGTTTCGAAATATTCTGAACTGAAGCAAGTTTGAGACAAAATTTTAAGTTCCGAGACTTTCAGAAGATGCACTGACCCATTGAAATCTTACATATGATTTACTGATATAGAAGGTAAAATAAGAGTAAACTATATAATGAACTCACTCAATACCGAACAAAGTCTTCCAGAATATTTAGCTCGGTTTATTAAGAGTCGACTGTATTTAAAAAATATACAGTACTGGATAGTAAAATACAATTGCACTTTATTGATAAAGATTTCAAATTGTTGTAATTGTTCAAACCAGATTAAATTCAAAAACTTTTTAACAATTTAATAAAATTTTAACTAAATATTTCTGTTAGAAGATTCTTATTTTGTTTTAAAAAAATATTCTAAGAAGTTTATAATAGTTAAAAAAATTAGTATTTCTTAAAGAGGTAATAAAATTTATCTAATTTTTTAGAAGAGATAAAAATTTAAATTTACATAAAAAAAAAAAATTATATATTAAATAAGAGGAAGAAAAGTAGCTTTTAATAAAAAAAATTAGATATTAACTTTATTAATATAATAAATAATTTTAAAATTTTATTAACTCTATAAGAAAAAAAATAAACTCTTCCCAACAATTACTTGTACTAACTTTTATCCAACTACAAGTTGAAGACCCAAAGCTTAGAAATCTAAACTACTTGTTGTTTCTGCTTACAAACTGTTGTAACAAAGTTTAGAAATGTGATATATTGAGGAATAAGCATTCTGAATGGTTTATATAGGAATTAAATCTTTTCTTTTATTTTAGAATAGGCTCTCTTGTGTATTTGGTATTTAAATCAGAGAAGTTTTTGAAAACAGCAAGTATAAAAAACATAAAAGAATAGAAAGACAAGACAAACAATAAAAAAAGGTACAAGATGTGGCAACTTAGAGTAGTGATTAAGTTGTCACCTCTAAGTGGCAGGTCTAGAGTTTGAATTCTATCGAAGATATTCTTAGAAAAATAGACCTGTGTACTAATAACATTTATTCAATAATTGGTTAGGTATATCATCTGTAATCTTAGTAGTATCATCTCAAAATAGAAGTTTTTAAATGATTTAAATCCAAGAAATCAGAATATTTGAAACCTGTTTGGCAAGACCCAAGCAAAGAGGTAGTAAAAATCTTTGATGATACTACAGAAAAGTCAGAACTGAAGACCGAAAAATCAGATGAAAACTCTAAGACAAGAAAGTTTTACCAACCTGGCTACCAGAATCACATTAGAGAAAAAGATTCTATACTATAGAATTAGAAACCAAGTGAAGTAAAACCAAAAAACATACGCGGAAGACCAAGCTAATGACAGTCAGACCAAATATACTTGGCAGACTATGGAACCCTTCGCAGCTGTGAGAACTGAGCTTAAAACGGCGAGCGTTACTACAGAAGGACATTTACCCAAATCATTAACAACATCATCCAACTTCTATGATTTAGAAATATGCTATAACAAATATCTTACTTATTACCAACTTCCTTTATTAGATGAACTACAAACTGTTAATTCTTTTTTACAACATTTACGACAAAACAATGTTGACTATTTAGCCGATTATGCTTTTATTACAGTTCACAGTAATAAAAGTGAAGCATATGTATATTTACCACACAAACACAACATACTACCAAATCACTATATTCTATCTACTAATGATTCACATGATATTCTTCTTAAATCACAATCCAACACATCTATTTTTACATCTTCCTATCCTTCATCAGCATCAAACTCTTTTCTTACTTCTTTCCCTTGCTCTAATGCTCCTTATACTACACAAAATCAAATTAACAACCCTATATTCAACTCTCCAACTAATTCAACAATTAAAAATACTTCAATTCCTATCAAAATTGGCTCCCTAAATATTAATGGTTTATCACAAGCTAATAAAAAACTGTCCTTACTTGAAATACTTAATAATGAAATATTTGATATATTTGGACTTTCTGAAACTTATCTTTCAAAACAAGAAACAAAATATACTAATTCACTCACTAATAAATATTCTAGTTTTTGGAGCTCCTACACCAACCCTTACCAAGCTGAAGTTGGAATTTTTATCCATAAAAAAATCTCCAAATACATTGCATGCTCTCATAACTATAATGGTCATATTATAGGTCTTGATTTACATTTCAAAAATACACCTATTAGAATTCTTCAAATTTATATTCCTACGCAAGAAAAAAAACAATTACGAAAAGAAATTTTTGAACAAATTATTCTACTTTTACAAAATTCCTTTTATAAAATTATTATCTTAGGCGACTTTAATGGAGTTCCTAACCCTCGACTAGACCGCTCTCCTTCAAAAAAATCCTCAATACCTGAGCATCAACTCATTAAATATCTTATTAGCTTCTAATTTAAAGACATCTACTAATTTTTTCTCTAACACCTCTAATTATACTTTTCAACGCTCTACTACTCAAAGTAGAATTAACCAAATCTGAACTAATTTATCTCTCACCCATATAGACTATACAGATATACTCACAAACTCTACACTTGAATCTGATCATAGTATTATCACCTTAGAAATTGCAATTATTATCAACAAGCCAAAACCACACAAACAACACAAACAGAAAATCTTTCTCTGGAAAAACTGCTCTAAGGAATCTTATGAAAACTATGCCAATCAAACTACACAAAGTCTTCAACAAATAGATTCCAAAATCTCTTCAATCTCTAATCAAAACCACCTTAACAACATATGGAACAAAATTCACAAAGCTTTAATTAAAGCTGCTTCTAAACATATTCCTTTTAAAAAAGCTAATACAATCCAAGGAGTCCTAGAAAATTCTTCTCAAAAATTTTCTCAACATTATTATCACTATAAAGAAATACAATTCCTTAAACACTATTACAACTCATCAAACTTTAATACACTTCTGCAAAAATATCCAACTACTTACCCAGATAACTCCTTTCAAACATCTACGCCTACTTTGGCTCAACTCAAAAATGAACTAAACCTTACTAAAATTGCATTTAACTACCATCAGCAACAATCTATCTACAAAGAAATTAAACAAAAATTGAAGATTGCAATAAATTATTTTCAGAAACACCTAAACTCTTTTACAAAAAAATTTTTGAAAAATATAACAATATCCGAATAGACAGAATACTTACAGACAACTCCTTACTTACTGAACAGGATGAAATTTTATTCTCAATTCACTCTCACTTCACCAGCTACTTTCAATCTAAACCACTTGAAGCTATATCACTTTCGAGTGAATTTTTTTCTTTTTACGAACCACATTCTGAACTTGAACACTACTACAAAGATCTTATTCAAGAAATATCTAAACAAGAATAGCAAGAAATAATCTCTAGCCTTCTTAATCAAAAAGCTGCAGATCCTTCTAAAATCTGCTATAAACACATCAAATATGCTAGCTCTAAAGCCCAAAACCTTTTCAGACTCTTTCTAAGCAAATGCTTACAACTTCAAAATATTTCTACTGAATGGAAATCTTCTAACATCTTCCTAATTCCAAAAAAATCGAACTGGAATTATACTCTCAACCAAGTCTGTCCAATTTCTATAATTGAACCTTTCAAAAAAACCCTTACAAAAATCTTTACTAAAAAATTAGACAATATTATTACTTCAAACAATCTTCTTTCTAATCTAAACTTTGCAGCTACAAAAAACTCTTCTACACATATTCCTATTCAAATTCTTAACAACACTATTGAACACTACAAATCCTGTAACAAAGAAGCCTGGAT